ACGGCTTTTGAAAACTAGCCGTTGGCTTTCGCTCATCCATACCGGACACGTCCGGTATTAATACCGACACGTCCCGGTATGACCAGACGATGAACCCTCCAAGTCGGTTGAAGTGCGACACGTCGGAACTCCCGACCCATGCCGGGACTCCGACCGTCGGAACTCCCGACCCACGTCGGAACTCCCGACTAACCAACCCGAGAACAACAATTTTACACATTTGTTGGACAAATCGGACACGTCCGGTATTAATACGGACACGTCCGTATTGCCGATCAAACAACAAATCGATTAGCTCTTTTGTCTCTCAAATACTCAAAACTCACATGGGTTGGCTTGAGCACTTATGAAACATTATCTATCAACATGATGCATCCCTCTTAATAGTACGGCATACCTATTAAACTCAAGACAAACGGAAATATGAATTTGTACCACTTGAGTTGTTCTTTTAAATTGATGCCGCCCTTCCAATCCTTCATCAAGTAAGGGTGCTAACATGTTGATGTTGATCTTTTCACTTGAGCATAGCCATCTTGAGCATGTGACTTGATTCCATTCATCAAGTTTGAATAATCCCAAATGTATCAAGTCACTTCCATCAAATACTTCATTATAGATTTGATCCTTCACATCAATATGACCATCTTAGCTTGACTAGTACCTCAACTAAATGCAAGTACTTTCTTCTTCACCCTAGCTAGGTTCTTCTTCGGCCGCCAAGCCAGCTTGCCCTTCACCCTTGCTTAGTACCTCGAAGCCTTTCCTTGCTATCTTCACCATCTCAAGCCATCAAGTCACATCTTGTGTTGAATCATCCATTCATATGTATTGTTATCTTTTTCATTTTAATTTAGCAAGCTTCAGATATGAGACCATTCCATATGCAATCCATCATGTCTCATTAACTAATAATCATGAGCTTGCTATCACATAGTACATGGAAATCCCACAATAAATAAGCCTTCACATGAATTCCATTTGCATTGTTGTCTTGTGCTTGAACTAGATTGTTTATACAACAACACATCATTTTGGCTTTCATTAAGTATCTATGAGATAATCTATTACCTGTTCACACTTAGCAAACGGGTTAGTCCTTTAATCACGTTGTCATTCAATCATCCAAAACCCACTAAAGGGCTAGATGCACTTTCAGTAACCCCTACTGCAAACTACACCATCTGAGCCAGACGCACAAATATAAATTTACTCGTCGGTGGTTCGAAAACACCAACAGACATGATCGGGGCAACCATGTGGAAAATTAGGAGAGTTCTTCTATTGTAATGATCAACGGATATGGCAGTCCTTGATACGTCGGCAACTAACTCCTTACTGACTATATATATAATAAAAAATAGAATTACAAAATTGTATGGGTTCACAAAGAAAGTCATCCGAACTCGATATTGAACTGTACCAACGAATAGATAGTATGAAATTAAAATTATGATATATTTTAAAGTAAATATGTTTGTGCTTTGCAATAGAAGAAAAAATCTATCAAGATTATGTTTTAATCTGATACATACTTAATAAGACATCATGTATTGCCAACATTAGCTTAAATATTATGGATGTTATAGTCTTCTTAAAATAAACTATAGCTTTAAAAATTATTTATAGAAGGATAAAACATAAATAGGTAAGTATATTATCTTCACCCTCATTTCCTATGAATGTTTGATAGCCTTTTTTATGAATGTTTGATAGCTTTTTCTTTCCCATTGCAACGCACGGGCATATTTGCTAGTTAGGCTTAATAGATTCATCTTGCAAATTGGTCTCATTCTTTGCAATTAGTTTTATAATTAGTCTATATTTAATCACGACCGGCCCTGAGGGCAGGCAAGCGGGGCGACCGCCTGGGCCCCCAATCCCACGGGGCCCACCCAGGTACACACTCAGTACATAGTTGTATCACTGTATGGCTTGGTTGACTCGTTAAGGCCCACGATAGCCTAGCATATTGGCGTTCGCGATTTGTTTGTCGACTATGCAACTGTGACTTCTCATCTCAGAACCAAATCGCAAATCCCACACACAACGCAGCAACTGCGACATGATCACCCAACTCAACGGCGGTGCCATGGTGGGCGGCCAACTCGGAGTGAGACTCCAATGAGGCGTACGTAGCTTCGTATGAACTAGGTATGCACTAATATCCGAAGTCCCCCAAACCACCCCCAATGGGCTGCGCTAGCGCCCGAACGTCCGAACAAGACGCCCCGCGCAGCCTGCCCCTGTGCGCTGATACTGATTTTTATTCTCGCCCCACACACGCACCCACCCTGTCGCAGTGCCCACGCGTCCAGACGACTCGCCTCGCCCCCGCAGCATGCCCTGTCTGCCTAGATTTGAAGCTGCCCACCTTGTCCCTCATGTGCACCCCACCCCATCGTGCCCCGACCGCCGGCCTCTAGCTCGTCGTGGCCTATTAACCGGCGCCCGTGCTATGCCACCATCACTCCCTGCGCCCATTGACTCTCCAAACAGTATGAGACACGTGCAACATGAAACATTTGAATGCAACATCCGTATGTAACGGATGAAACATTTAGAACATACACTTGCAACATATATATGAAACATATGCAACACCAAATAATACACTTGCAACTTGCGACCAAGAAAACATGTACTGCAATATAAGACTGAAACATTTGGAACATATTTAGCAATATATGTGTGAAACATGTGCAACAATCAGATCAGAACGCTTGCAACATTTTGAACAGCACCTCTAAAACACTTGCAACATGCCTCTAAAATAGTTGTAGTATGTGCAACATCCCTGATCTACTTTTGTAACATCCATATGAAACAATTGCAACATACCTCTAAAACATCTGAAACACTTGAAACATACACTTGCAACATGCGCTTCCATCGCAACATCTCCTTGCTGAAGTCATGTGTCACAGTGGCTACGGCGTCGTTCATGTGTTTTTTCTCGAATACCCAAAAGAGTTCCGTGGTTCATGTGTAAAGGGTCCCAAAATTTTGTTTTGACCTAGGCCCCTAAAAATTCAAGACTGGCCCTGTATTTAATACTCTAAATTAGTGTTAAACTTTCGATGTGAGAGGACCCGCTTCACTTTTCTACGGTTGCAAACGCAACAGAGATCCGGTTGCTAGTCTGGGCTTCGAGCCTCTTCAATTTTTTGGAGGACAAAAATTGGTTCCACCATGGATCTTCAAACGAGTTTACTGTTGCGAAACCAAAATTGAACCTTAGGATAATGGTTGTGGGACATCACTGACACTCCCCGGCCTAGGACTAAAAGCCACCGGGCTATAGACCGTGCTGTGCGCGCAAAAAAAATTAGATAATGATGTTGCATGCTAAATAGTGAGGGGCCTATTCGGTAGGCCTAAACCAGCTGGCTAGCCTGGATGTGCTTGGGCTTATCAGCCCAGCCGTTCGGTAGCCCAGCCCCAGCCAAACGGCTAGACTATAAGTCACGCCAACCAAGCGCGTGCCCCTCTCTCCCTCCTCTTTTCCCCTTCGCGCGGCTAGGGTTCCGCCGCAATCTCGCTGTCAATAGCCTCAGAGACCTTGAGCTGCGCCTCCCTCCCCGAACCCACCTCCATCGACGCCAACTGCCTCCAGCAAGGTACCCCCTGGATCCCATGCCGCCTCAGTCTCACCTAGCCAAATCTAAGCCCATGACCTTGTCTTGTAGGTTTCCCTATGCCCCACCCCCCATCCCCGCCATGACCCAGTCGCCGGCAGCTCCTTTCTAGGTGTTTTCGATCCGCACACTAAGAAGGTTCATATTCCAGATCTATGTTTATGTGTTCCGTCCAGTGTTGCCTCTGAATTATACAGGATGACGAAGCTGGTGCAGTCCTAACTTGGTGATCAGTGTTGTAGTACGTTCTTGTACAATTGCAAACAAGACAAGACTCTATTACTTGGTGTTCTAGGTTCAGCTCGACCTGTAGAAGGTTAGTAATGCATGCATCCTTTAGTAAACTACTTATTGCCAGTTTGTGTTCTTGGTTCCTATAAACACTGGTTGTCTTGTAAACAAGCATCACAAGATTTCCTTTGATTTGAGCTTTCTTTGAAATATGCTACCATTAGTGGTGGGTTTGTCTTACCCTCTTTTGTAATTGTTATATTTGTTTAAACTTAGCTGTCGTAATTGCTTTTTTGAGTATGTACCCCATTTGTATTTTGATAACGACCTATTCCATATGTCCTTGTTGCCTAGTTTACAAATAATAATCTTGTATGATTTATAATGTTCATATGCACAACTTGGTACACGGTTTTAAGAGTACTATCGCCTGCTATTCATGCATCATGTTTTGTTGAACCTAAACATTATGCTCTATTCTTACGCTGTAGAAAATTTAGGAACATTTCATCTACTGATGCTCAACGCTGCTCACACTGGCAGCGTCGTCGACTTCGTCATGCTCTCCACTTGCGGCTAGGCAGTACAACCTCCGTTCAAAATGCCACAAGCGTTTGGAAAGGCAAGTTCCCTTTTCCTTTGCCCAAACCCTACTTTGCATAATGCTAGGAACATCTTTTTTCCTTTTCCATAGCATCCATGACAATAATACATCGAAATGTCGCACATTGCATCAGATGAACCGTGAGCGTCCTAGCTGGGATGAAAGAACCTGCTCATTGTTTCTTGAGCTAATCACTCAGCAGAAAAACCTATGTCATTGGGGAAACAATATCCCAACCCCTCTTGGGTTGACAAATATCCATCATGCCTTTAACGAGGCCACAAGGCTCGGGTACAATAAGAAATAGCTCCAGAACAAGTACAACGAGCTAAAAAAGGGTGTATTTCAATTGGCGCGACGAACAGATCCATACTGGGCTTGGCCATGACCCGCATACTGGAGAGGTGATAGCTGATCCCGGTTGGTACGCCACAGGCAATGGGGTACTAACTACACCCTTTTGTTGACTCTTTTTTAGCATTTAGGTTCGCACTAACTGACTACTAACATGGCCATCCCTGGATCACATGCAGGAAAGTAGCCAAACTAGTTGTGAGAGGTTTAGACGTCCACCATGCTGTGAGCAACTGACCTTGATTCTAGGACGCACCCCATGTGACAAGGGCGAGTTGGTATCTACAGGGGGACATCAGCCTAACCATACACCTAGTAGTGCCAGCCCTCATACTCCTCAAGCCTTATCCAATGAGCCCATACAACCACGTAGTGTTGGTCAGCCCTCTAAGAGAGTCACTAGGGACCATTCCATTAACAGTCCTCATAGTAAGAAGAGTAGCAGGACTCCAACCCTTGATGACTGCCTTGATGACCTAAGCGACATTATCAAGGATGCTAGGGGGAATAAGACCCGTCAAGCCACTGATGTCGAGGAGATTGCCCAAGTCAATCAGATTCTGAAGCAAGATGGTTACAGTGAGAGTGATGTAGTCTTTGCCCAAGCCCTTAATCTTTGCAACAACAGGCTCCGTCGTCGGGCTTTTCTTGATTTGGAAACAAAAGAGGGCCGGTTGAACTAGGTGAATGTCTCGTGGGACTTCATTTTCTCCAAGTCAAAGTGATCAACACTATACTTCCTCCTGTGGCTTCTTTAGTTGGTTTAGTTTTCTAGCATGAGCATGTTGAGTTGTTTATGTACCTTGTCAGCGTTATGTTCTTTGTCTTCATTGTAATAAAGACCGTTGTCAAGAACTATGTTCACTTAGATGTGTGGTGTACTATGAGCATTCTAGTTGAAGCGCCATCTGCATTCTATTTGATGTCAATTTCTGATTTGAGCATGTTTAGTAAACTTTGGCAGCAGGAGATGGTGGGTCCTAGATATTTTGTTAATTGACTGTAAAAATTTCGTTAATTGAATGGTTGTATGTGGTAGAACCTCCTAAATTATAGAGCCCACATGCACCTGTCACTGTCCAATGACCTCCAACGACTATGCATATGTTCCTGATAACTTAAGAAGACTATCGGGTGTCCTCGGGGAACCCCGAATCATCCATGATTTCCGAGCAGGATCCCATTACAGAGTCATTGTAGTATTACAACAATTTATTCAAATAGATACATCAGAGTAATATAGCGGAAGTCTTACAATAACTTAGTTTACAAAACATTTATTTCAAATCTTACAAACTAAGTTCGATTAATATTACAACTGTAGCAGTGGAGCAGCATTATTAACATAATACAAAACACACAATTAAACTGCCATACCCAAGGGCCACACATTTACTTGTCGTCAACGGATCGAACAACCGTCATGCAGCACGGTCCAAAACAGACCTGCTCATGAGGCTCACCTGCAATAAGGGTCAACGAACCCTAAGTACAAAAGTACTCAATAAGACTTAACCGAAATAAAACTGATAAAACACAGGAATGCAGGCTCAGGGATTCAAGGTAAGGCTTTAGCAATAATCAAAGTTCTTTTGCGTAAAAGCTCTTTAACAAAATTCTTTATTTCAACATTTAAAACTTCATAAGAACCATATATGAATCTGCCATGATCCGTAAGGAGACCATGAACTTCATATCAAACTCTTTCTCAAATCCAGCTCAAGTTTCATTTATTAACTACGATGATGAACAGTGAGTTGAGTCTCCATAATCGAGGAGCAACGACGATTCGAACCGATTAAACCCAGCTGGGGATTCCAGACCACACGACATATGTAGGTCCCTGACCTACATATACCAACCTACCCTCAGATCCTCTAAAACAAGAACGGGTCCGCGCCACCCGAGAATACAGTACTCCACTAATCTAGCCCATTGCCACGTGGGTACACGCTATTCCTGCCATCTCTCCACTTCCAATGCGTGAGTAGCCATTCTCGTAATAGAATAGCCAAGTTAAGGCTTACCGGAGTATGTGGTTAGTACTACAAAGTCTCACCTCATGCAATTCAACAACGAACGGACCTTAATCGACACAGGCAGAAAGAACCCGCTCACAAGACCTCCATGTCTTGTGGCTCTCACACACTGAGTCCGCCCGATCTAAATTTATTACTCCACCGAATCATATCTCATGCTAACATAAATAACCAATCATATCCAAAACCATTTGTATCTCACAGGTGACAGGTAATCACCCGACTTTTATCGGTCTAAGCATGGCTAAGCATAAATAGGCATTCTCAAATTGAAACGGTTAATAAGGTAGATATGGGAAAACGAGGTTGGTAATGCACCAATTAGGTTTTCACTCAACTCCTAATTACTTAATGCAATACTGAAAAGCAAAAGCAATATAAATTTATAAAGCACAAGGTAGGTTTAAATGCATCCGGGGCTTGCCTTGATTAACGGAAAAGTCCGGTTCCGGAGACGTTCCACAAATATCAAATCCGACCTCAACAGATGGATTAACTTCCTCCGCAACTTGATTGACTACCACGTGCTCACTTTCGTTCACTACATGTAGTAACAATGCCATGTTTAACATGATGCGAGATATAAAACATGATGCTTGATGATGGATACAAAAATTAATAACTTGAATACAACTTTCCTTCGCGGTACAGTTACAAACCAACAACTACTTAAACCATTTCATAAATTCAAACAATTACTTTAAGTGCCAAGGATCATTATAAGCTAATGACCCAAGGTCATCACTCAATCCAAAATTCAAACAAAACCTAAGTTATTAAGGTTTACTATTTGCTTTTATGAATTAATTATTTAATTCAAAATTATGAAATAAATCAAGTTTCTCCAAATGAGTTCAAAATTTTTGTGAAGGCTTATCACATGATAACTAAGTGGAAAAACAATTTTCATAATTTTTGGATAAATAATAAAGCCTAGAAAAATCATGGAAACTCATTTATTAATTAATTAAGTAATTTTTATCACATTCAAAAAGTACTGAAAAGCAACAGTTCATATTTTTTCTAAATAGTATACATCACAGAGAGGTCACACAAAAATTTTCATAATTTTTGAGCTCTAATTAATTCTACACAAAAATAACAAAAACTTACATTATTCATTCATTTCTGAAAAATAGAAAATTCATTTTCAATTCAAACCGCCACTGACAGGGTGACCCCACCCGTCAGTCCGCGCTGACCATGGCGACGACGGCTCTGACGGTGATTTCTCACCGTCGGTGAGATCAACGGCGATGGCAAGGGTACCACCGTGATCATCATGATGAGGCGCACCTAAAGGTAGCACTGATTGCATTGATTACAGCTCAAACCGAGCTTAACGCCGGCCATGGCGGACACGGTGGAGCGGCTGCGCTACGTCGGCGAAACAAGGCCGGTAGCGGTTAAACAAATGGCCCAGGAAGACTCAGGAGCTCACCCCGAACACACTGGAGTTGAAGGCCGAGCCGGAGGATCAACGGAGACGCTGGTCGTCGGTCACAGCAGCCACGGCGGCGCAAGCGACGTTGATGGCGGTGTTCCGGTGGCTACGTGGTGGACAAAAGGCTCAATCAACCGAGCACACAGCATCATGGCATCAAGGCGAAGATGAAACAAGACCTCGCAAGAGCAGAGGCTCACCGTAGAGCTCTGGCCACGACGGCGCTCACTTGACGGTGGTGCTGCCGGCCGCGAGGAAGAAAAGCGATGAACGGCGGTTCCTGGTGAAGTCAAGCTACAAGGGCTGGTTTGCTGGGTGTGCAAGGAACAAGCGAAGCTATGGCAAGCTTTGCTGAGGATGGGAACACGCGACGGCGACGGCACAGCTCAACGGAGACGGCGGTGACGGGAAAAACAGAGGAGACGAACGATGAAAAACGGCGGCGTCGTAGACCTTATAGCACAGCTCAGAAGCCAGAAGAAGCCACGCCACGGTCTTCTCCACACCAGCGTGGAGCCAAAGATGGCCACGAGCGCGCCTAGAAACCAGAAGAAGGCCGCCGGCGGTGAGGTGTCGCCCGCGGTCACTGTTCACCAAAATTACAAAATTGCCACTCGATTTGAAACCCAAATTACTCTCAAATTTATGTGGCAACTCAAAAATCTCCAAAAATAAAAGTTATTCAAAATTCAAAGTTCTACAACTTTGCTTTTATAACCATACCCAAATTCGGTCTACATTTTGAAATGCAAGTTTGAATTCAAAAAGGGGACATTTTGAGAATTTACGCCTTTTCAATTTACTTCAAATTTTATAAAACAACTTTGAAAACTCCAAAAACAAACTTTGAACACCTTGACAAGCTCTACACTTATGCTTTTAGACTCAACCCCAAAATGTGCCTACATTTTGAATTGGGTTTTCCAGGGTAAACTTAAACGCTAAAATTAGGGTTTTCAAAAATCCAAACCAATACCAAGATTTTGAACTTGATTCAAACCATACAAGTCAACACATACAACATAAAGGTAAACTTGTTTTAGTGTATGCATAACAAAGTTTTCACTAAGACCAAATGATTTGCAATGCATATGATGACATGGCAGGTTTTAGTATTTAAAACACCCGAGGTGTTACATTGTACCTCCACGTGTATTGAGGTAATTGAAAGTGATTCTTTTTTGTTATTTCTGGTATGATACCATGCCAATATATACTGTCACATCTATTGGTTTGTGCCCTTTTCAATATTGCAGCATGAGCAGCAATGAGGAGTCATCCAATAGCGACACTTCCAGTGAAGGACCGGGCATGGTGAACTTGGCGAAGGTAGCTGTCGTGCTAAGAAGGTTGAAAGGCCTACTGGCATAGCAACGTCCTGCGGTAAATCCTCCTTGTCCCATACCCAAGCTCACTGGCGCGCAATGGATGAAACTTACTCTTGACGGCCCCACAAAATGCATAGACAATTTGCGTATGTCCCGTGATGCCTTCATGCATTTGCATAACATGTTGCTTCCGTTTGGGCTGCCATCTATAGACAAGTGTAGTTCCATTGAAGCTTTAGGAATGTATGTCTGGACTTGTGCCCACCAGTCTGCTAGTAGAGAATGCAAAGATAGATTTGAAAGGTCGTTAGATACGGTTAGTAGGAAGGTAACTGAACTAGCAGAGGTTATGTATAGGTGAGCACAAACTATACTAGTTCCAGCAGATAGGAACTACCCACGAGTCAACCAGAAACTTGCTGAATATGCACCATGGTTTGATGGGTGCATAGGTGCTATAGATGGTACCCACATAAAGGTTGAGGTTAATCAGGAAGCCAAAGCTAACTTCTTCAATAGGAAAGGAGAAACTTCAATTAATGTTTGCGCCATTGTGGATATGGATGGCCGCTTCACCTATGTGGGTGCCGGGAAGGCGGGAGCATGTCATGACATGACGGTCCTAAAAGACTGTCAGGCCGATGAATGGTTTTTGCATCCACCCGCAGGTTCATGATGACTTGCAAATATCTTTGATGCAGTATGTGTATAGGTAGTTGGCAGGACATTGTTGGCACTAATTGTAGAATTATTTCAATTATTGTAGGACGCTACTACCTGGTAGACGCGGGATACACGGAGACTCAAGGATACATGACTCCTTTCCGGAATACAAGGTACCATATAAACGACTTTAGGGGCGTAGAGTTGGAGACGTTAGAATGCGAGGAGAAATTTAACTACATTCACGCGAGGCTGCGCAATGTAATTGAAAGAAGATTTGGGGGGCTCAAAGAACGGTGGCATATTCTTGAATGGGTTCCTTACTTTGCAAGGAAAAAGCAAGCGATGATTATCATATCATGCTTTGCAATGGATAATTATTTGAGGCTGCGTAAGTATGGACATAATGCACCATCGTATGAGCTGTCGGAGTGGGTGGTTCTAAATAGTGGAACCCAAACAACTGCAGTAAGGGAGTTGATATCAGCTGTAGTGTGGAGTGGAATATGATTAAGGGAAGGTGGTATTTAATGAATGCATTATGTGTGGGCCAAGATTTGTTAACCCTAGTGGATGTTGTAATCTTTTGTTGTATGGATTGAACAAATGGAGTGTCATTTGTTGGGTATTTGTAATGGATTGTCATTTGGTAGCTACGAACTAGAAGTAGATCCTGTTGAGTAAATGCATGTATCATCTGTACTAGGTAATTAACTGAATGGGCCAAGATTATTTCATCCTTTTCTAGTTCCTTAATTTAATCTTGTGTTATTTTATTAAGTTTATACTGCAATCAATTATCCAATACAGCTCAGATTAGTAATTTACATTGTAAGTGATAATGAAAGACATTGTTGTTTGCTCATATGTGGTGTTCTTGATTTTGCAACCACTTTCACAAACTGTAGTCACTAGTGAAGGACATTGCTGCTGAATATGTCACTGATCTGGTAAGTTTATTTTGTGAAGTTATGTGTGAGGGTGAGAGGAAAATGACCCAGCACCCATATCATTCATTCATGTAGCCTGTAGCTGTACATACATGTTTGTAATTTCTATGCGAGATGTAGTAGCCCTCTTGAATGATGCTTGTTTTGCTTTAACTATGGCAAAGTTGTGACATGCTTTTTGCACAAAGTGAAGCATATTGTATCTGTTTAGATGCATCATACTAGGACAAGCATATCATGTCCTGCTTCCATTTTGGCAACTGGTGTTTGTAGATTGTCCTTACTTTAATTTGAGCACCTTCATTTGTACATCCATCTCCTTATGTTTTATTTGAGCTGTGAAATTCTATTTCTGGTGGCAGTAATCCATTATTCTTGTTTGAGGCATGCACATTATACTTTTACTTCTTTGTTATATTTGAGCTGTGAAGAACACTTAGGCAGACATAATTATTGGCCTATTGTTACTTCCTTTGTACAGGTTGTTGATATGCCTACTTAGAAGATGTATAGTAGGGGTCGAGAACTCGATGACACAACTTGGATGCCTTCTTTTGATTTTTTATTGTTTTGTATGTAGTTGTTGCTCTGAATCGAAGAAAATTCTTCGATCCCTGTTCATTGTAGTGTTATTGACTTTTGTCTTTGATTGGACCATTGCTCATGATTCTTTGTTCATTTGTTAGGAGTTCTTAGATGGCAGGAAGATGTTCTCAGTTGAGGCTAAAGAACAAGCTGGATTTCAATGCAAGGAGGACTGAAATACCATGAGAAATGATTAATACAAGTGTAGTTCATCAGTTGATTCGATCATTTTATAAGCATTTACTAGTGTCAGTGCACGTTGGAACCTAAGTTATAATTTAAAATTCATGGCCATGGCTACATACTTTTTTTTTTGTTAGTGTTTGGTAGTTTTGTTGGACTTAGAGAACTGAAATTGGTTGAGGAGAAGAGTTTAAATTTTAAATGGCTATTCAGCCAATTTGAATTGACCAGGGGCTGGTCGGCTGGAAGCAGCTGCTTGGCTGGGTGGTTCAGTACCGCTCCAGCCAGCCAATTCAAGCCTGCCGCTGGAGTTGTATTATTTTTGTAGAAGATACTAGGTGATTATAAACATCCGGACGTAATCAAATAGATGGTTCATCGTTATTTCAGAGTACCATAAAGAAAACGTCATTTCAGAGTACCATAAAAAAAGGGTTCAACGTGCAGGAGCACCGTGTCATTTTCACCGAGCAATACTGCAATACAACGCTGCGTGCCTCTCCTTTTTTTTTTATCTATATACGACATACAAGTTTCTCGTTTTCTGATGACCAATAAAATAAAATTCATTTCGGTTACTAGCATTCTAGTAGAAGACTGTGAGATCAGACTGTGCTATCCTTTCGGGCGGCGCCGGTCCCTTGCTGGCCGTGCACGTGGCCGTGGTCACTGGCGCTGGTGGTGTCGAGGAAGTAGAGCAGGCCGCACATGAGCACGCTGCAGGCCAGCATCGGTATGGGGCCGAACGTCCAGCGAAGAGCGGAGACGTAGAAGGCGCGCAGGCCGAGCGACCAGGCGTAGCTGCCGCGGTTCACCGTCCGCGCCATGTACGACGCGAACTCCTCCTCGCGCGCCTCCGCCTCGTCGCCGGGGCCGGGCGGCAGGCCGCCCAGGAGGAAGCTGGCGTGCGCGTACAGCCGGATGGCCTGCACGTTGCAGACGAAGGCGAGCATGAAGCAGAGCGACACGGCCAGGTACTTGGCCGCGAACACCTCCCCGGCCTTGCTCCCGTACACCAGCCGCGGCGCCGGCGCCTTGCTGGAGGACGGCGAGGAGGCTGGAGACGTGACGCCGATGAAGACGCTGATGACGGAGACCAGCGTGATGGCCGTGGTCGCCAGCACCGTCGACGCCGTGATGTTGTTGCGCAGCGTCTGCACCGCCAGCACGCCGTTCTTCTCCGTGTTCTGCTGGCCGGTACGGAGCAAGATGGTAGCTTAGTAAAGAGTAAAAACGGTGATGAGATGGGGGAGGGTGCATAGGCATGGTACCGACGGCCATCATGGCGGCGACCCAGCGCTTGCGTGCGATGGCGTTGAGGCCGATGACGGTTCGGGTGGGATGGCGCAGGATCGCCCAGAGGAGCCACAGGTGGTAGCCGGCCACCGCCGCCAGGGCCAGCGGCACCAGCACCAGGTCCAGCTGCTCCTCCCGGAGCATAGTACCTCTGATGCCGCTTTTTCCTCTCTCCGCGCCCGCCTGCCTATAGTCTCTCCGATCGACGCGGATGGATGGTTTTGGGCAAAATGGAACTGGATCCTCTCTCCTTTCGAGTGAAATCAGGAGTCACGACGGCACGACCTTTTTTTCTGGGCCGCTCAAACCAGCAAAACAGCTACGAAGGCAACGCGGACAAGCAACCCGCGAGTCGTGACTGCGCGGCGGATCCTGCGTCGTACTACGCACTTCCGGATGGCGTGGCATGGTGGTGGGCTGGGATAGGCGCGCGTGTGCGCGCACTGCCGGCGAAGTGCGAGTTGAACATTCCGTCGGGGCGCACCCCCATGAGTAGCTTTGGTGTTCTTCACTTTCATAGCCGCCACGCGCCATGGGGCTTGATGACCATTATTCTGTCTGCAAAACACATACATACTCAGGCAAAGGCATGATGCTTGGGGAATATATACAGGAAATGAAATGAGGGCTTTCGATACATATATGTTTCACATGTTCTGGTCAGCGACCTGGGCAGCCATAATAGCCATTTTATTACAAAATGCGTGCTCTATTGCATGTCCATAGAATCGAGCACCACGCTTGCAGACAGCTGGGGAGTTACACGAATCTGACAGTCTGCTAACCTGAGTTCATTGATATAGTCTTGTAACTTTCTAAAGTTCAGGCTTCTGACTAGTATACAGCAAGAGACCAATTGAGGACGGACGGTAGTCCACTGAACATAGTCCCCACATGGCAGAGTAGGTCCAATTACACATTAATTCTGTCTCATACAAAGGGATTACATGGTTCCTCAGTTCTTCAGAGAGCTCTTGTTTCATCCATCAGAAGATGTGGACAATGTCATAAGCAAATCTGCTCATGTTACGGATGAACTTGAGGGTATATGTTGACAGTCATAAAAAGCTAGGGGAATCATTACACAAAATAGGTGCAACAAACTACATCACGCATCACAGCAATTCCTTAGATGAAGTGCCTACAACAGTATAACCTCACAACACTACTATGTGTCACTTCTTTAAAGGATTTGGTAGTCACAATATTATGTTGTTGTGTTAAGTAAAGTGAATGAAACCTATCAACCCACAAACACAGCAAAAAACACATCGGAAGCATATATTAGAAGTTAGAATGATAGTAAAGCCTTACAATATCAAGGATACGTCCAAAACAACACGAAAGACTGCAAAATAGAAAGGAAAGAATGTTAGAACATTTATTATAAAAGAAAAAAAAGGCATGTAGTAATTATCATAAATTTACTCAGAAGTCAGAATGGAAGCAAATATCACCAGAAGAGGAACCTATTGGGTAGCTTTAGCAAGGAGGTGAACCCGTGCTAATGGAATACTACCCTAGCTTAAAAGCAAGAGTCATTACAGTAGAAAAGGTAATAGAATGCTCTGCTTTCTATGGCTCACTATATCCTAGACATGCTCCAATCCTCTTCATCTTCAATAAAGTAGTATGTTGATCAAGACATCACACGTATGAAATTGTTTCAGTAGAATTCATTATTTTTACATCACTATGTTTTGAACTTCTGGTGAATCATAAAGGAATATAATAAATTTTCATCTGCTTTCATCGGCACCAATAATTCTTACCATCAGGCCTCCAAGTACTCCTTCAATTATAATCCTGTTCCAACTGTCAAAGTATGTATGGACCGAAAATTTGGCTTTCACCAAAAGCATCAGAGATGCAACCATCATCACAAGAAGGTAGAACACAAATCCCATCAAGCCTGTAAACCCCCATATTCCAGCAACAACTCCACTAATGATTGACAAGAATGTCCGGCTGAAAGGCACAGAAAAATGTCCTTAAGTCAGCTTAGTGTAAATGGGTAAAGCATTCTAAATGAAATATCAAGAAGGCAGATGCAGCTATGAAAAGATTGATGGTAACAAACATGTTAATTCAGTATCTAGTTGACCAGGAAGTAGAAAAGCAAATCTTCACATGAAAAACTTTCAGAGCTTTTAGGTGACAACAAGGGAGTTAGAGCACGTCCACTTAACATTTATCAGATACTGGAATTAGTGTAACAACTTTCAACATTAATTGGACAATTATGCATTTGAAGTTTTGAAAATATGTTTGGAGGATGAGCTGAAAATAGAATGTCATTGGTATAGAACATGAGAGTATGGACCACACGATACCACTCAACATCTCTCTTTTGTTCATTTCTTTCATTTATTTCTCAATTCAACCAAAATATGGTAATAATCAACTACTCTGTATTTCCTTAACTTTCTTTGGATCTATTACTCATAATCTAAATGAAGTGAAGTTCGAAATCTCTCAATCACAAAACAAAGAGCTTCAATTATTTTTCAACAGAACTCTGTATGTTCAGACCCCCATATAACAGTGATTAACTCCAAAGAACTGGTGCGGTACCAAATTGCAGTGTTTGAATATTTGATTGCAAAATCCTAATTTCACTATCTCATTGTCTCCTTTTCCACTTTCCGTACCAAACCCAGCATCTTCTGCAGCTCTAACCATAATTCTAGTACCAAAAGTATTTTATCCTCGCCTGTCAATCAACAACACGGAACTAAGATGTCGACCCTACACTGCGAATCTATATTATGAACTAGAGTTTAATCACCAATCAGCAAGATCCTTGCCGTATATGAGAGTCTCCGGTCGCACAAATCGGAATCGAGATCAAGCGAAACCTAGACATGCCTACTGGCTACTGACTAGATCAGATTTAGGTAATCCAAATTTTGTAAAGGAGACGAGGGTGATACGAACCTGTAGTTGATTGATTTGACGTTGCTGACGAGGTTTTCCGCGTGGAAGATCGGAACGTCGCCAGAGAACCCGCCGCCCGCCGCCGCCGCCGCCATCTTTCTGGTTAGTTCGAGCAGTAGACTTGCCGTTGCCGACTTGGTAGCAACACTTGCGTATATGTTCTAAGGCCAACACCGGCTCGTGCCGCGATTCTGCCGACGTAGGTGCGCGGTGCGCCAAGCTAAGTCTCCTTCAGCTAAAAAAAAAAAAAAAAAGCGTGGATATTATTTTGGTGCGACAATTATCTTAATTCGTCCGTGTGTCACTTCATGCGATCGATCCCACCTTCCACGCTATTCAACGGACGAGCGAGAAAAGGAAAGAAGCGAGCGAGAAAAGAAAAGCCCACAATATGTCTCATTGATTAAAAATTGCATGTTTACAAAATAGGAAGTAGAAAATTATTGTGCTATCTATATACATATTGTATGTTTGCATGCACAGTATACATGGCAACGAGCAAAAGGAAAGAGAATTAATACAGAAGAAAAGAAAATTAAGACAAAAGAAAAGAGAGAGACTGCTATCAATCATCTCGCTATAAATCATGTGGCATCATCATAGCGCACACCCTCGCCAGCTTAGCTCGCCCTCGCTCGCATCGGCCTCCGCTCTTGCGCCCTCCCTCGCCCTATGCTCTTTGACTTGTATATTTTGATTAATTGGATATTATCTTTCCACGATTTATTAACGAATATTTAAACAAGATGCTCATAGATTAGTCAAACAAGTTTCACAATTTGCTTCTCAATCTTGTACTTCTACCTGTGAAAAAATAGTCACAATGTTATACTTATTAATTTTCATAGACACTACATATAGAAACCATGGTCCTAATGGATAGTTTCTACAGAACAATTTTTATCCAACCACTTACATTCTCTCTCCATTTTTTATCAATCACATTCCTTCATGCCTTGGTTCTCGTGTAGACATGTCCCAAGAATCTAATATGTGTCATGATTTCAGAATTACATGCTACTCCTAGGGCTGGATGATGAGCAAATGATTTCTTTGTGCCCAAACTAATTGCACGGAGCAGTGAGGTCCTAGGATCATACAACAAGGAGGTTGTATAGTTTGGAGAGGATGGTTTAGAAGCAGAGCTTGTTGAAATCGAGCATGGAATGATGCTTATATGGTGTTGAAAACTTTAGACATTTAGATGTTGGCTGGAACTGGATGGTGCTTGGGAGGTAGTAAAACTTTAAACTGTTTTTACTAAAACACTGCATGAACATTTTATTTGTGTGTACATGTATGTAATATAGGGTATAAATCAATATATGAAACTTGAAACATTCGTCCAAAACGTGAAACAAATGTTACATTTCAAGTCGCTTAATATCGTTTAGTATTCTAAGCGAATTTTTATCGAACAAAAATGCTATAGCACGTTTATGCGAACTTTGATAGGGTTGTAGTACGTACTTCGTAGGCGATGATGAAATAAGTGTGGTCGAGGACGAGGTGCGCTAGCTAGTATACCCAGTAGGTCGAAATTGGAATTCGACACGAAACCGTTCGAAGTTTAAGTCATTTCGCATAAGTTTGAAAAGGGGTCGACGAAGCCATGTTCGACAAAGTTTGTAGAGCGACCGGGTTAAGAAGTGGTAAGATGTTTTGGAACGATTGGCTAGCCTTAGGTACCCTTTTCGTGTAGAACAACTGGTTTGGCGGATGTAGTATTCGGGTTTGAGTTTTGGGCCGCTTTAAAAAGCGTGCACAGCACATGGTCCATCTCCGGGCGCGGTCACCACCCCCTGCTTGGCCTGGCACCGCTGCTGGCTTGCCAGCGCGCGCTGCCGCACCAGCCGCGCTCCCACTGCCGTGCCTGGGCATGTACGCACGCGCATGGCCCTTGTGTTGCGGGCCTCGGCCGCCTGCCGCCACGCGCTGGCGCGCAGCTAGCACCGCCGCTGCTGCCATGCCACGTCCTGGGCGCCTGTTCGCGCCCTGCCCACGCACGGGTCGGTTGCGCCGCCGGGTCCCGCGCTGCTGCTCGCACTGCCGTTATTGCACGGCACACTACGCACACACGCACTCGCACTGCGCCGGTGGACCGACTACTCTGCCCGCCTTCGCGTCGCACGGCACCCGGTCGCGCTGCGCGCCGTCCATTGCCACGCGCGGCATTGTTTCCATTGACCCGCCATAGCTGCGCACAT